TTAAGGTTGTCCTGTTGGGTTCGGCTCCTGATCCTCGGATTCAGAATGATTTCGTGAATTTGGCAAACCAGTTGCATTCTTCACATAATGACCGCGCACGCTTGTGCCTGACATATGATGAGCCTCTCTCGCATTTGGTACTTTTGTCATAAAAATAGTGGACTTTTAACAATGGCTAAAACATATGGCTTTCCATCTAATTGAATCAAAATCTGAAAAACAATGATAAAGTAATATTTTGATTTTTCCATTTTTTAGGGGGGTTTTTCAGCCTTTTTTTGGGTATACTTTTCAATTTCTAGGTGCATGCTTGGATACAAGGTTTTTTCAAAAATAAAAAATAAAAATAAAATTCAATCTCCATTTAAATTAAACTTAACTTTAACTCAACAGTACTTTGTGAATATTATGAATATAGTTAAATAATATCAATTAATCATCCTTGCAAATCACATCAACTTTAATTCACTATTCATCCAATCACATAAATTTAACTACCCATCATTTCGAATCACCTCTCTTCAACTTTTACATTAAATTAACTTTAGTTATTTTATTTTAAAATATTATTTTAATATAAATTCAAAATTTCACTCCAACCTAACACAACCTACTTCTCAAAATTAACCATAGTTAACCAAATAAACCAATAAAAAAAATTATAAACCTCTTTAGGGTTTTTAGCTATGTCTTCAAAAGTTTATGTTATTTCAGGTATTTTTCTAAATTGTCACTAATTTGCAGTAAATTTAGAGTATCCCTTTAATTATTGGCATCATGATGGTGCAGATATATGCGGGTGCAGATTTCATTCTTGTCCCGTCAATATTTGAACCGTGCGGATTGACTCAACTCACGGCAATGAGATACGGTTCAATTCCTGTTGTTCGCAAAACTGGAGGTGAGCAAAAATATTATCTCAAGTGATCTTTAGAAAATTTTACCTATTGTAGCACAGTAAATTTCATCTCTGCATAGTCTTAGGCTAAATCAGCAACTAATCTACCAACATATTAGTTATGAAGAAAAGTAAAGATGTGTTTCTGATTAGCCACATCGTATAATTTATGTGGCTTTAAGGAACGAGGCTAAATAGCTAACGGTATATATATTTATATATATGTTCTTTTTTTTTCGATTTTTTAGTATCATTATGTGTTTTTTGGGTGCAGGTCTGTATGATACTGTGTTTGATGTTGACCATGATAAAGAAAGAGCACAAGCATGTGGTCTTGAGCCAAATGGATTTAGTTTTGATGGTGCAGATGCTGCTGGTGTAGATTATGCTCTGAATAGGTAATTCGGCTCGATTTCTATATTTTATAGACTCAAATGATTTATTCTTATTTATTTATTTTTAAACTGCAAGACACAAAATTCCTCCCATCTCACCAGTAAATTTTTCAAAATAAAAGAACTTACATGACCTGAAAAACCCGTTTGTGATATTTGTTAGTAATTTTTCTTTTATCCAAAGAAGAAAATTGCAGTAATCAATCGACTTATGTACGAGTTTATATTTGTTTATTAGAGCAATATCTGCTTGGTATGATGGAAAAGAGTGGTTTAATTCGTTGTGCAAGCGTGTTATGGAGCAAGATTGGTCCTGGAATCGGCCAGCTCTCGATTACTTGGAACTCTACCATGCAGCTCGGAAGTGAAAAAGAATCAGGAAAAAAAATAAAAGTTTTGTGCAGGTTTAATAAATTATACTTCAAGATTTATTTTTTTAATCACTCTCTAAACATATATTTTATGTTTAGTGATTCATCATTTTTTCACCAATCCAGTTCACATTAATAAAGTATGATGACATTTTGGGGCGAACCAAGTCTTGAGCTCATATTTATTACTAATCAGCAAGCACAAGTTCAATTAGCCATTGGATAAACTGAAACATATATTTCCGTTTGATTTTTCGATTTTATGTTTGGATAAACCGAAATTTCTGATAACAAAAAGTCAAAAAGTCGAGAGTATCTTAATTTGACCCCACTTAGGGACAATCTTTAATAGAATTGAAAAACCCTTTCCTCAAAAAAGGTTGATGATCGGAGGAAGATGGTATGACAAAAGTGAAACCGGATACATACATCAGAATCTTGTTTTTGCACTACTTGTAACTATAACAAAAATAGTTATAAAAAATTGGGTTTGACTCATAGTGACTTTTTATGATTAAATATTTAATACAAATTGAGTTAAATTAGAAAAATTTTATGTTATGAGTAGATATTTGTTGTATTTATTTTCTCAAAATTGATTTTCATTAAAGTTAGCCTATGAACACGTAGAGCGTTAGTTATGGGATTAAAAAGGTTAAAAGTCCTATTCCACTTTCGACTTTAAATGAGAGTACTCTCATTGTTATAATAAAGTGAGTTAAAGACGTCACACCAACTAAACTATGAATCAAGTGTTTGATGTTGACCTTAACCACACGAGCGGTCCGACCGGCTTGGCATAGGCCTGGGTCTGGGACCTTGGCCCTTAGGCTAGGCTTGGACGACCTTGGATGGTCTGAGCCCGTATATACAATCCAATTCAATAATAGATTGTACCTATTACTTTTAATGAGTTCACTTTTGTATGTAAGGCCCAACCAATAATGGTCCAATAATTTCAAAAAAGGCATTTATTATAAACATATCTCACATCGAATACAGTAAGAAAAAAAGTCTGCTATATAAATGATTTTACAGTCACCTCTTTGCAAAGCTCAAAATTGAATCGCTGGCCGCACGAATCGCTAGCAATTTATCAGTTTAACCGTTTGTAATTGGTTCAAGCAGTTTGTAGTCGGTTTTGGGTACCAACAGTTCTATAGGTCAAATCGAACCGGTGTGCTGGTCGGTTCCCAGTTGAACAGGTCGAACTGGTCGGGTTGCTCCAATTTTTAGAATCTTAGAAAATAGTTTTTTTAGCCGGAATTTATGTGTTAGGTTCAGTTTTAGTTAGAGTTTTCATCTTTTGTCTTTTTTTGCTTGCCTATGGTAATTGGTTTGCTAAAACTTGAATCTTTCGAGGTAAGAGTCGAGATTTTGATAAAAGGTCGATTATTTCGCAATTGATCGTTCAACTTTAGCTTCTAGTTGTGTTAGGCTTAGCTTATTTCTCTTTGTTTGTGTCTTTTTGCGGGTTTTGAACACTTCGATCAAAGTGAAGTCTAGATCTTTCTTTTAGGTTTGCATCTTTAGTTAATTGCTCTTAAATTTCTTAGTTAAAATTAGTTTAAAATCATTCCCCAATATCTTGCTAGATTGTTTAATACTTTAAGTTTCACTTTTGGTGTTTGACGACTAGTCAACCAACAATGCTCCGAATAGTCTTCCTCGATAAACACGACCCGATCGAGATCGGGATTTATTCCGTACTCACCTAAAAACTACTAAACAAAATATCCATTGTATGTAAGATCTTTTGGTACTCCATATATCCATTTTTATAGTTTTGCTATGGAGCCATCCACAGTTATTCACAAATAATTAATGTATTGACACGTGTCCTACAATAAATACACTTTGGACAGGTGTCAATACATTAAGTGATGAATGACTATAAGAAAATCATCCGATGGCTCCATAGAATTTTTATTTATTTCCATATCTGATTGCAGTTTTGTGAACATGTGTGTTGATTTCGTGTATTCATAATTATATGCGTCTCTTTCTGGTTTTAGTAATCCTATGTATCTGGTTTAAAGAAATTACATAATTGATGTAATAAATATATTTAAAGCAAATAGCTTTTGTATTTGTTACCAGATTTTATATATGGTATATCAAATTAGGTCAACGTTTTGGCTTTATAATAATAAAACTTACTAACTAATTGATTAAATTTAGCTATCAAGCCTGTTATTTAACATGAATTAAAAGAATTATTATATTATAAGATATAAGTTGTACAAGTGAGTCATTTTAAAATAAATAATAATATATTTTTTAAGAATTATTTAAAAAATTTAAAATAAAAACTTCTCTTTTTATATTTATTTTTAAAATTTAAATATATCCTTTTTTTTTTTTTTTTNTTAGGAATATTTAATGAGAGAGCGAGAGACACAGCCATCTTTCCCTATTCAAGCCACATTTCCAGATAAGAGAAAAAAGTGAATATAAGGTAAGTTAGCTGTAAATTTTAACATGAGTTCAAAAATGCCCTAACCACTGGATTTTGTCCACATTCATCTCATAAAAGTGCTGCAGTAGAATTGTTTCAATCTCTACTATACTTATTTATTTATTTATTTATTTTTTCCAATCCTTGTTATATATATCTGGCGCGGCGTCACACAATTTTGCAGTCAATTTTACTTCTAGGTACATTCCGGATAGAATTTCCAAAAAACAAAGATAATAATAACAATAATAATAATTTGGGTAAAAAAAATAAATAAAAAATTTCTAAGGTCCTTGTGTTTTTTGGAAGCATTTAACCACAAGCACACTTGATTCCTGGTTTTATTCTCTCACTCTTACAAACACTACTCATCACCATTTATTATCTCCATTTCACTCACATCTCCTTCTTCACCAGCAACATTTACTTCCATTGTCATTTGTCAATATATATATATATTCATAGGCCTAGCTTCCCACACCAAAAAATCACAAAAAGAAATAAAAAAAAGGAACATAAATCTCTCTCTCTCTCTAAAATGACTCGCTTGCATGGCAATCTGTGGGCCCTACTAAACTCCCCGGACGAAGAAGAAGACGTTTTTGCCCTTATGTCGACAAGCCCGGCCCGCTTCAAGATCTATAGGAGCAAGTCAAGCTCTGACCTGTCCATGTATCGGGCTCCTGTTTCCGAGCCCATTCCCATCAAGAAGTTTTCATGGGAAGGAAATGTCATCAACGAGAAAAAGGGCAAAAACGTCTTTTCACCCGAGGAGGGGGAGCCCTCGGAGGACGACTACGAGAGGCTTCCGCCTCACGAGATTGTGAAGAAGAGGACGATGAAGAACCGATTTGCGTACTCGATGTGCGAAGGGGGGTTCGGGAGGACTCTCAAAGGGAGGGATCTTATTAATGTTAGGACCATGGTTCTCACCATGACCGGTTTTATCGAGAGTTGAAAAAATTAAAATAAATTATTTAGCAAAATAAATAAATTAAAAAACAAAAAAACTCGAGTTATTGTCGTTTTTTTTTTCTTATGTTTTTTAGGGTTTTGAGTTTGGGGTTTTGTGGTTTGTGCATTTTATTTTATTTTATTTTATTTTTTTCTGTCATACTGAATGGAGTCAGTGAGAAAATGACGAGTGTTTTCTGTGTGGGATAGAAAAGGTTTTGTATTCGTGTTAAGTGAGTGTTAAGAGTGAGATTTTGTGGGTTTGAGGGCAAAAAATGGAGGACTAGCTATTTTGTATCTGGCTCCAGGCAGTATGTAATTTCATGGAATTTCTTATTTAGTTTTTATCTATTTTTTTCTGTGTTGCCATTTTACCTTTTTTCGATTTTTACATCTGAAAAATAATTAATTACTAGTGTGTTGTAAGATAAAAAAGTTTGGAGGTGATTTAATTTGGTGAATCTAGACAACCAGATTTGATTGTCTAATGAATTTACCATTATCATGTCTTGCAAATATGGAGTGTTGATGTCAACAATTGCTTGAAATGCATGAATAGGATTATTGCAACTGCACTTTATGGTAAATTTATGGTAAAACTGTTTTCATGTTCCAACGAATTTTAGAAGTGGTATTGTATCACTACAAGAAAATGGTGAAATTCCAAAGGAAATATATATCAATAAAATTTCAACGGGAATTCTAACGGATATTTTAATGCTATTATTTCCGTTGGAATTATTCCAACGGAAATTCCAACAAAAATATTCCATTGGAATGAGTTTGCCATTGGAATTTTCGTTGGATTTTGACGATTCCAACTGTAGATTTTCTAACGGGGGTGGAAATAAAAATTCCAAAGGAAATTCCTACGGTAAAAAGCCGTTAGAAATATAGTCGTTGGAATCATCAAATTCCATCTAAAATTCCAATGAAAAATACATTCTAACGGAATATTTCAATTGGAATTTCCATTGGAATGATTCCAACGGAAGCTATTCCATTGGAATATCCATTGAAATTTCCATTGGAATATATTACCGTAGGATTTTCCGTTGGAATATAACAATTTTTTTGTAGTGTATGGATGTGATTTGGAAGTGATTATATTAATGGAATTCACTTATTAACAATATCCTCATATATGGGATTTCGACTGACATTTTGTGACTTTTTGAAATTTGAGACTTTTTATGATTTTCAAACTTAAGAGGAATCATGTGAATTGTAATTCTTAAGGTGGATTTGGAGTGACATTTCATATATGTTTTTTCTTTACAAATCCCAACAAATCTTAACAAATTCTAAATTCAAATAAATTAAATACCTCGAGATTTTATAAGACTTTTAAAGTCTCAAATGAAAATCTCAAGGCTTTTAAAAGTTTTAAAAAGTCTAAACTAAATATATCAGGATTTCTGAAGTCGTAAGCGTGATTAGATATAATATATCCAATCCATCTTCAATCCAACTCAAAATCTAATTCAAACTTTAAGTTAACTCTACTATCCTTAATATTATCAGTGTAATTAAATAATATTAATCAATCATTCTTACACACTACATCAACTTTAGTTCACTATTCATTTACTCACGTAATTTTAACTGGTCACAACTCTACATCACCTCTCTCATACTTTTACATCAAATCAACTTTAGTTATTTTATTTTTAATATTATTTTAATATAAACTCAACATACCGCTAACAATAGAGATGTTAAATGCTCCGTGGCCCGACGGACGGCCTGTTTAGCCCGAAAAAAATAGGGTTAAGTCCCTTTATTAGTAGCCCATTTAAATCAGGGCTTTTTAGTCCCAGACCGTTTAGCCCGAAGCCCGCTAGGGCTAGCCCGAAACTCGCTAGGGCTGGCCCGTTTAACTAGGGTTGGACGGTGTAAATGTTTGCATCGAGTAAGTAATATGCTCTTAGATTTCTTGTATATTACAATTTTGCTATTTTACTTCACATGTAAGTATGAGTTGTAATGGATTATTATGATTTTGAAAGATAATTATTCTTAACAAAATTGTTATTGTACTTCACACCAAAATATTTAACCCAATCAGAACGACTAATAGGAAACACATGAAACATATTGATAGACGGTAAATACTAAATAGTCGTTGAAAATAATTATTAACTAGTCGTTGTTATTTTTTTTTATATTTTGTACTCTTTTTATTTTTGATTTTTTTGATATATTATTATTAGAGCCCGCATAGCCCTTTTAGCCCAAAACCCGCTAGGGTTAGGGTTAGGTCCTTTTATTGGTAGCCCGTTTAAATTTGAGTTTTTTAGGCCTGGACCGTTTAGCCCGAAACCGATAGGTTTATCCCGTTCAACATCTCTAGCTAACAACTAACCATACCACATTTTTCTAAACTAACTCTGTTTAAAAAATCCACTTTGACTGAATTTTTTTTTATCTAAACACGTTCTTAAAAATACCAAATGAATACATCCCTAAAATTATGGCAACTTTAGGATATATGGGCAGCATGAATATGTGTTCATTGAATTTGCAATTAAATTTGGATTTTTGCCAAAATTGTCCATTTGTTGGCAAAAAAATAAAATAAAAATACACATTTTGTACATGTTTTCCAATTCCCACTTAACTCTAGCAAAGTGGGCGGACTTCTCGCATTTATCTAGTGTTTGGAGTGAGTCCCTCCTTATTTGGTTCCCTTCTTTCTTATAGGATGTACCAAACTAATGTCCTTTNTTTTCGATCACTTTGTTCCAAATTAATCAATTTTATAACTATAAAACTACTATTAATAGATTGAATTGCAATAGTACTACTTTTAATACACCCATAAAGTTGTTCATAGTGAAACATTCAGTATTTTATAACATAATATTTTTTTCTTAAAAAAATAAATTTAATATGCTAGAATATATTGTAATGAATATTTATTAACAATAACTCTTATATTAAAAAACATAAGGAATCGTCTTTTGGGCTAGAAGACCAGGCCTAACTAAACTTGTTCTGTTATCTAAAGCGTGGATAACTTCTACTTTAGTTTTGTTTCCAAAAAGGGCCTGACCAAGTTTTGCTCTAATTAACCCAGTCCAGGGCCCAAGCACCGGTCAGCCATAAAATTCTTATGATGCTAGATGCAATTCAAATCAGGTCACATGTGAGATTGTTTTGTACATGAGTAATATTTTGGAAATAATTCCGTAACGGGACTGTAATTATTCCAATATTTTGACATAATAATGTGTAAGTAATTTAAATTTTGTTTTGTGCATTTTTTTGTTATTTTAAGTGTTTTTAAATGGTTTCTTTGCGTTCGTACGTTTTAGTTTATTTTGGGTTTCTCCTGGTCTATTTAGTCGATTTTGCTCGTTTTAATGTTTTATTTTCTTTATGGTGTCTTATACTTTTTATTTCTCATTTTATATTTTATTTTTAAGGAAAAATGGGATCCAGAGAGTCAACGAGAATTTTACCGGAAAATGCTGGAAACTCGACTGAACGAGCATGAATTCTCCAAGGAAGAACAGATCGTCCAACGAGTTCGAGCTGATCACCCGAGTCGAGTACCCAACGAACTCGAGTCGAGTGTCGGCCCCTCAACACCCTTCGCCGGTGCACATTCCATTCACACTCTGGCCCGTGTCGCCCACAATCGCCCCACATTGCCCGTCAACACCCGCACGTCACCCCGTCTATCTCTAAGAGCAGCTCGCTCATTGCCGAGGAAGCTGTGCACAATATCGCCGAGGGGAAAGGACTCGCGGGATCGCGAACAACCCATTCGGCTCGCGAGTGCGAGTTCACCCATCCCTGTCCGCTATCTCGTGAGTGCACAACATTGCCCGTCCACCAATGCACTCGTGGACACAAGAGAGCCCAACACCTGTCATCGAGACCCAGCGCCTGCCAGCCGATGTTCGTGTCTCCGACCTCGCGAGTGTACCCCTTGCCTAGGCCTGCTAACTCAAGAACCAACGAGCACTTTAGCTACATCGTAAGTGAGATTATGTACTGTTGCGTGCGCGTTCTAATGAGTGTTTTGGCTAAGAGATACATTTAGTCTTTTGCATTTTAGGAATCATTAATCAATCATTTCCAGTTTAGGAAATAGTACTTTTCTAGTTTTTCTCTCTATTTTGTAATGTCACGTTTGAGAGCTCCAAGACTCGACTTTTGATGTTACCTTTTTTATGCAAGTTTCGAGCTTTTCACTTTGATTTCCTTCGAGCATGCTATAGAAGGGTGAGTACCTAGTTTCAGAATTCATTATTTCGTATTAATTTCCTCCGTTTTTACTTGCGAAGTTATTCAAGGTAAATGTGGTGCGTTGCATAGGGAATTGAGTTAAAGTATGAATCTTTTTTATTTTCTTGGTAGTCTTAGGTAATTTAGGAGTTAATTCTGCATTTATCTAGTATTAAAGGTTGAGAGTTTTTTCAAAGCTTGATCATTTATGTTAGAAAGCTCGTTTATAATATCCTACGATCTTAATACTCATATATTTCTTTGTTTTGTTTTCATTATTTCTTGAGTATTGGAGGCTTCGTGCTAGATAAAGTTTAAACCTTTAGTTAAAGTTCAGATTTTTAGGTAATCGCTTTTTAATGTCTTAGGTTAATTTAGCTCAATATCGATACCCAAACATGCTTAGAATGCTTAGTACTTTTGTTTTTCAATTTTGTTGCTTGACGACTAGATAGTGAACTTAGCTCCGAACAAACATCCTTGTGAGAAGACAGGCGGTTGGTCTTGACGATCGAACTCGACTAAAAATACTACAAACAATTTTAAAGGTGATGTAATGTGTAAAATCATAAGACTGTGTTGCGTATGGATTATGACAAAGTTTATGTCTACCATTATGTTTGTAGCATGATCCTTTTGTATATGACATGGCGTGTTGACCTATGCATTTTTTTTATTTATTTTTCCATTATCGTTTATAAATATTACTTTTAATTTATGATTAAAAAATACTCCCTCCTTCTTTTAATAAGTGACGTTTTAAGAAGT